ATATATATATATAAATGTATATAAGTTAATATACATATATGATTTAATTTGAAATCTAAATAAATTAAAACACGATATATGTTTGTGTCTTCTGATTGATATTACTGTTCTATCATTAATATTATTATATGATTTAATATACTTGATATACTTATTTTTATTTTTAATATTAAATATTTTATTTATATTAAAAAACTGCTATTGCTATTATAATGTATATAGATTTAAAATTATACATTTATATTTTTACACATTTACATTTTACGTGATTGTAATACGTATTATAATACGCATTGTGTAGTGTGATTAATCATTGTGATTTAAAGCCTTGACATATGAAAGTATAGAAAGAATCCGTATCACGTTTAAAATGTACAAGTAACTTTCATCAATGTATTGTGCCATAATTTTGCAACACTACGAACATACGAACATAGTAGAATTACCTTGCTCGTGCTCGTCTACTTACTGGCCTACTTACTTACGCCCTTATGCGAGGCATCGAATGTCTACGCAAGATTGTATTATAATAAAACAATGCATTATAATGCCATGAGAACGTAGTTTTCTCTCGTCGTGTTAATAATTTTGCATCTAAATTAAAGAAATTTTAAATATATTATGCTAAATCTTTGATTTCTGTGTTCATATATATTTTATATTCATTTTTAATATCTAATATTAGTAAATTATATTGTATTTACAGTTCGAGTATGTGAAATTTAATATATATTTTTATTAATTTTTTTTAATCTAGGTAAGATTGAAAGATTGAAAATTTAATCAATTATTTCATACCTCTTTCCAGCGGCGCTGTCGATTGTAGCGGCGAGTCTTTTCGCTCTGCAAACGGATGATCGAGCCAATAGCTTTGTCATCACGAGAGGAGAAGCTTTCTATATGCAGGTAAAATATAATGGCACAAGCGAATCTTACTTATTCGTTCTTCTTAACTTTTTGCTCTTTTCGAATAGAGAGAATATGGATAATATTCTTTTCTAAATTTTTTTCTTTTAATTAAAAATTTAATAAATAAATAAATTTATTATATTATATTATGATATAATAATGTGATGTGATGTGATTTATACACTATATATTATAATATGTAATAGATTAATAAAATAAATGATAAATAAAAGACGTTATTAATAGTGAATTAAAATAGACAACTAATTATATATTTATATCACATAATATATAATATATTATATAATTATATATTTAATTGTATTAAAAGTTTTAACGAAATTAAATTGTATTATAAAAAAGATTGTTTTTTTTTATTTTTATAGTATATTTTTTTGTATTTCATGTATCGTGTATTTGAAAATTTCTGTCATCATATGAATATAACTAGACAATTTCGCTGCTAATTTACTAAATTTGCATTTTGCACTTAAGATAAATGGTGAGATAATTTTATTTCTCCAATACGTCTTCAACATGCATCTATTAATATTCTCAGTGTGTGTGTGTGTGTGTGTGTGTGTGTGTGTGTGTGTGTGTGTGTGTGTGTGTGTGTGTGTGTGTGTTGCGTGGGTGCGTGCGCGTGCTTTTCTGTGCCTCCTAATTGATTTCTCATTTTCTTGAATTAACGCGACACCGTTAATAAACGAGATAGCTTTCAATAGATACTTCATGCATTCTCCATTCTCGAGTTTCTAATTTCTCGTACTTGTTGTACCGTTAAAGCATGTTGGTCGCTCGACATCACTCACCGGTTTCTCGAACCTGTTGCACGTAGAAACAGTTATAGATATTGCACTTGTTTAATTTGACTTATAGCTCAGTATTTCATGAACGATACATTGATATCATAATGTTTAAATTATGACTCGAAAAGAAAATTAGTTAGAGGTATATTTAATCTTCTATCACACAAATTGCAATAAAAGAATTTTTTTCTATTCTATTTTCTACGTAAATTTTTATTAAATATATTAATTTTTACATCTTATCAATAATATAAATAGTTAAATAAAGAGATACTATATTTGTTTGGCTTTACTTTTTTCTTTTTTTCATCTTATTACAATTATATAAAATTGGTAATATTATTTTAATTTTACAAAAAATAATAAATAATAAAAATAATAAAATATAATGATAAAAAATATTAATAATATTGAAAATGAAAAGCATTACAACTTTTATATTTTTATCAAGTATTAAATTAATAAATATTGATTAATTTTTTAATAATTTGCAAAAATACAAATAGCAAAATAAATAAATTTAGACACCGTGCATTATAAGATATTTTATATATCTTAAATCATATTGTATAATTATAATTAAAACTGATTTAAGTGAAATTAATCGTGTGGAAGCGTGTGACTTATATCTCGTTATCTATAGTTAGTTGCACATAAGATCGCATCTTGTATATGTTCAATACAAGAATGATTTATGTGATAATTCCTTGATGAAGCAATTCGCCTCGTAAGCAGATGATATTTCTAAGCAAAGATAAAATCTTGTCTCAAAGCTTGAAGAAGCGGATATTTATTGAGCGCAAATAGGCGTGAAAAAAATATTTCAATAAAAGTCGAAAAAAGATACTAGGGAAGAAGAAGCAAAGTCATTAAAGAAATATAATCATTAATATTACTATTGTTAAAGATTCTCGTACATACAGATGGAAGATGTTATTAAAGTTTACTTACTTGTAATGATAAAATATTTATATTTTTATATTAGAGAGATAAATATTAATCATTAGATTGATGAAAAATAAATGATCATTTTTTTCTTATACAATTCTTACATTAGAGAGATAAGAAAAAAAACGAGAATAAATAAAATAAATTTTGAAAGATTAAGAAAACAGCTTTTATCTTTTCTTACTACACACACACACACACACACACACACACACACACACACACAAATTATTTATTATTATTTGAAAACTTAATATTGCTAAATGTTATTACTAAAATATCACTAAACTGCAAATTATTAAATATTATTTATTAAATAGAGATATTTCATATGTAAACTCAATGTTTATAAATTTTTGTTAATAAAATGCATTTGTTCATAAAACTTAATTAAATTCCAATTAAACAGATTTTTAATACGGATATACAAATTAATCAAGAAATAGATTGCGTTCGTCGTTGGCAATGAATAGTAATTTAAATTAAATATCGATCACAGAGCGCGACGTAGCGGTGACGATAGCGTTTGTGAAAGAACGTATGAAAGAATGTCACGTTTTATGAAACTGAAACGATAATGTTGCCAACGCACCTTGAAAGTTTGTTCTTATCGCAAGACGACAACTCGGGTTTCTCCCGATGAGGATGAAATATTCGCGGTCTTTACAATCAGATACAATAAAGCTTTAGATATTGTCAAGGAAATGGTCGACTCATTATTACTTTTTTTCGTAGAACAATTATTTTACGTGAACAACAAAGAAATATCTAAAAAAAATTAAATAACTTCAATCATCATATGCATATTCAACGTAAATAGTTTCTTATCTCTCTCTTATTCTCTCTTGTTCTCTCGATAAATAAGTGGAAACTTATATGTAAAATAATACAGGATTTTTATGTTAAATAATTTTTATTTAAGCAAATGAGAAATTTATATTGTTAAAGATATTAAAATATTGTCTAAAAGTAAAAGAAATTAAAAGCGGAAACAAGATCTGTGCGTACTTTAATACCATATAATACCTCTGATATGGATGTTACATATGTTTGAAAAATATTCTCCAGATATCATCCATCCTATCTTGTGAAATAAATTTGTAGAAATATTAAGATTTCCTAGTAAGATAATTTTATCAAGGTTCCTTGCACATTTCTTTTTGTGCGCGCATACGCATGTTAGAGGGTGGGAAGAGTTTAATTTGATAATAAATATTATGAATATGCTAAGTTACATCATTTAGGATTTACTTTCTGTTGCTTGGATGCAGAATTTATCAAAAATCAAAAATCAATCAAAAAAATCAATCAAAAAGGAAAGATCAAGCGAGATGTATACATGTATTCGTTAAATAGCGCCATCGTATTTCTATTCGTGTGCCAGCAAATTGTCGAGAATCGGTCGAGAAACGTATATCTGACTAGAGAATTAAACTGGCTTAGAAGCCACCTGATTGTGAACTGGACTCAGGTGTTTCTTTAAGCCCCTCTCTCTTCACACCGATCGCGACTTGGTATGTGTCGGAGTGAACCACGACTCGTAGATACTTTTAAAACAATGAGTCGACATTGGCGGACCCGCAGTGAACGTTTCGGTGTCGGTCGTTAATGAACTCGTCGTGTTGTTCTCGTTCTCAGTTTTGCGACAAGTACATTTCTTTTGTTCCCTGACTGACCATGTTCAGCCTTTGGTCGTACAAGCTCAAGCATGAACAGTGCTTTCTACCGTTCGAAGCTAAATTAATCATTACTACGTATTAGGGATAGCAAAATTTTAAAAGATGCTAAAAGAAGGCGAAACACATATCCGATTGATTATCAGACATTATATCGCTCATTTGATGCTCGCGACAAATTTCTCTTCAATATAAAAATCATTTTGTCGTTTTATTAAACACAGTTGTATGCTACTGAAATTTTTATCGTCAAAAATATACGATGATGGACAAAAAGAAACGGAGTCTCTTGAAAGAGGCCAAGGACGAAATCGAATTGGACAGAATGAATAAGCAGAAACAAGGCAAGGTAATGCCATTCGTTACTCGAGGGAGCTCAATCGAGTTAATGTTTTTGCATTTGCTTTTCCTGGTATCATGTTAATGATATTACGCGATATAATACTTCTCATTGAACATAGCAAAAATAGCAAACCTTTTTATATTTTTTATATTTACATTTATATTATTTGGTATATTAACATTTGTAACTTGATAATTCCAGAAGAAGATCCAGAAAAAAAAGTTAATTGTGTATTAAAGAGTTTACCGTGAAAGTAAAACAAAAGTGATGATTATATATATTTGTTCTTCGTTTAAAATAAATCAAGCTCTCTCTCTCTCTCTCTCTCTCTCTCTCTACAA